GCCCGCCACAATGCCCGGCTATTTTTTTTGGTTGCCGCCGTCATTGTTGTTTGGTGGGCCCAGGCTGGATTCGAAGCCACTGCCTTAAGTGTATGTGGCTGGCGCCTTAGCCACTTGAGCCACAGGCTCCGAGCCAGGAATTTGGAATTCTTTGTGAACTAAATAGTAGGCCTCGTCCTCAATACGCCCTGGGGCCCTGGGGCCTCTCTAAAGCAATCTAGAGAGAGGTTTTAATCCCAGAGCAGCCCTAATCAGCTGAAAAGTGGATGCTCCAATCATATCAGCTCTGAGTCTCAGTTTCCCCATCTGTAAAATAAGGAGTGGGCTCGACGGTCCCTCTCTAACTATAATTCCCAATCTGAGGCTCAGGAAGAAGTCCATAAAACGAATAAAATTCCTTCAAAGACTACTAGATGAGAACTCACAAATTGAAAGATTTGCTTTTTGGATCCTGGCAGTAACGGCGGCCACAGGGCACCAATCTCTGTTGATTTATTAACGCACTTTGCCCAGACTAGTGACTATTCGTGGAAGGTCCGCACTTGCGCCTCCTCTCACGGAAATTCGGTGTAGCAGGCAGCTTAAAGCACAGTCTTTAAACTTCTAAATCCCGCCCCTAGCAGGGGAGGAGGAGCGGGAAACAGCCCAGTCGTACGCCTGCGTACTGCGACGGGGGGAGGAGAATGGAGGTTGCTCAGCAAGGTCAGGTCGTGCGGCCCCGCCCCCTTCACGGCAAATCACGCGATATTTCCCCCTTCCTCAGCTCTACAACAGTGAGTGAAGCGTAACCGGCTGCCTGGCTGGAGCTGTAGAAGGTGTGTTGGTTCCCCGCAGTGAGGCAGGAAGCTCGCAACCCTGGAGACTTCCACGCTTCCTTCCGGAGCTACCCGTGACGCTGGCGTTATTGCTTAGGACGCTAGAATAGGGAGTGCTGGAGAAGAAGCAAGATCTTTTGGTTGGTGGTTTACTTGTTAGACTTGGCTGGGGGTAAGAAACCTCAAGCTTGGACGTCACCGTGTTTGAGGTGCCGCCGGGACTTTCCCTGAACACGTATTTATTGAGCATCTACCTTGTGTCAGGCATAGGGGGTGGACATGAACAAAGCAGACACAGAATCTGGTCATAAACAGGGAGAAAATACCTCGCCAGGCGGTGGTTCACGCTGGAGGATTGCTTGAGGCCAGGCGTTCCAGGGGTCATGGACACGACCTAGTCTCTTAAAAAAAGAAAAAACTGCTAGTGCAGTGGGTCAAACCTGTGCTCCGAGCACTTTGGAAGGCCCAGGCCGGTGGATCAACTGACCTCAGCTCGAGAAAAGAGAGACCCCATCTCTACAAAAAGTAGAAAAACTAGCTGGACGTTGTGACTGGCGCCTGTAGTCCCAGCTACTTGGGAGGTTGAGGCAACAGGATTGTTTGAGCCCAAGAGTTTGAGGTTGCTGTGAGGTATGATGCCAGGGTACTCTACCCCAGGACTACTGAGTGACACTCTGGCCAAACTGCAACAAAAAAATAGCTGGGCGTTGTGGCGGGTTCCTGTAGTCCCCGCTACTCGGGAGGCTGAGGCAAGAGAATTGACTAAACCCAGGAGTTGGAGGTTGCTGTGAGCTGTGACGCTACGGCACTCTACTGAGGGCAATAAAGTAAGACTCTGTCTCAAAAAAGAAAAAAGGATTGGCCAGCTGTAGTCTCAGCTACTGGGGAGGTCAGGGTGGGAGGATTAGCTTGAGTCTTGAGTTGAAGGCTGCTGTGAGCTGTGAGCACACTGCTACATTCCAGCTTGGGCAACCAAGCAAGAGACCTCTCCTCACAAAAGTTTATGAACCGTATGTTTTGGAAATCTGGTGTATCTGATGTTATTACAAGTTGTGCAACCTTGGATGTATTATTCAGCCTCTCTCTACCTTCCTTTTCTCATCTATGAAATGAAGGCAGGGCGGCGCCTGTGGCTGGAAGGAGAAGGGCGCCGGGCCCATATGCCGGAGGTGATAGGTTCAAAACCAGCCCCGGCCAAAAACTGCAAAGAATAAATAAATAAAGGCAATAGTACTAACCTCACAGGGTTATTGAGAGGCAAGGTTTAAACAAGACAATGAATATAAAATCTTTGGCTGGGTTCCTGGCCCTTAGAAACAAACATTCAGGAAACAGGCTGAGAGAAGCTCCTTTTCCAGGATTCCATCCATCTGGTTGGAACCAGGATTTGGGCAGGGTGCGGTGGCTCACGCCTCTAATCCCAGCAGTTGGGAGGTGGAGGCAGGTGCATTGCTTGAACTCAGTTCAAGATCGGCCTGAGCAAGAGGGAGACCCTATCTCTAAAAAATAGCTGGGCACTGTGGTGGGCACCTGTAGTCCCCGCAGCTGGGGAGGCTGAGGCAAAAGAATCGCTTAAGCCCAGGATGTTGAGGTTGCTGTTAAGTGGTGACTCCACTGAGGGTGACAAATGAGATTCTATCTTTAAAAAAAGGGAAAAGAAGAACCAGGATTTGTACTCTGCTCATCCTAATTCCATAACCTTTTCCCCTTTATGACCAGCACCAAAGTAAAATTTTCAGTTGAGGCATCTAGTGTAGTAGTATTTTGGTATATTATTTAGCACCAGTTAGGAACCTGTTTTATACCAGGCAAATACAGAGGGTGCCAAAAAAAAGCTACACATTTTAACAATGTACATACCTTTTAAGAAAGGAAAAAACTGTAATAAATTTGTTTTATTTATTTATTTATTTTGAGACAGAGCCTGAAGCTGTCACCCTGGGTAGAGTGCCATGGCATCATAGCTCATAGCAACCTCCAACTTCTGGGCTCAAGCGAGTCTCCTGCCTCCGCCTCCCAAGTAGCTGGGACCACAGGCACCTGCCA